CCCCCGCAGGCTGGGCCATGGCTCCTCCCCTGCACAAGGGCCAGGTTAGGGCTGATCTATGTCCCCTCCCCCTGCAGGGCTGGGTTGGGACTAAGCCACACCCTTTCCCACCTACAGGGCTTGGTTCAGCCTGAATCATGTCCCCCATGGGGCTGGGTTCTGGCTGAGCTGTACCCCTTTCCCCCATGGAGCTGGGTCAGGCCCCTCCATTCTCCCCCTGCAGGGCCAGGATGAAGTTGGGATGCCCCTGCCCCCTCCACACATTTGGGTGGGGTCATTTTGCAGCTGCCCGATACCAGATCAGGACCATCAGCCGGATCCAGTCTGTGGATGGCTTGAGCAGTGCTCATCCATCCCATCTGCCAAAATGGTTGAGCACCACTGCTGAACGAAATAGTCAGTAATACTCATGGATACATTGATAGACTAGCAAGGTTCAGTGGTTGATTTTGCCCACATTACCAAATTATAGATGGAAAACTGAGATGCCCTACTGAACATACAGAAGTTGAGCACATTTTATTTTTCATCTCTTACTCCTATTTTGACTGCATAGTATTTGCTTTAGCTATAGATAGTCTTAAGGATGGTAATCTCTTTAAATCAGTTAAATATAAAACTATAAGACTTCTAATATTCTGATATTTTGTTTCAAAATATTGCTTTTTAAAAATCAGTAGACTGACTACAAAAAGTTTACAATATTATTCAGTATTAGTTCAAATAAAATTAATAAATGGTGTAGTCTGCATGGGAGACATGTTATTGCTTGTATAGGTTTACTTGAAATAGTTTGAAATTCAGTATAAATGAGTGGATGAAAGATTAGATTTTATTTTATCTTGAGACATATCTAATGGCTGAAGGAGGTCAAGTGAAGAAGTATAGCTATCTTAATATGACAATTTGAGAGTGACACAACTGCTGAACTCAATGTCTGAGTATTATATTTCAAACCAACAGCTTAATAAATAGTATATTTTCACTGAAAGTAGAAATATTTTTTCTTTTCTATTTAAATCTTAGTTGGTTCCAGAATAAGAGGCTTTGCAATTGATAGTTATTTTAAAGGCACTGTCCGTTGGGCATATTTTATGCTTAAAAAATTTGGTGTATGCATGTTAGTATGTGTATGTAAACAAATATGCTAGTTAGCTCACTAATTTTTAGATTACAGAATAAATATGATTGTTTGACATTTTCTATTTTGAAATGTATTTTCAGAGGAATTTTTCTAGTAATGTGTTGATTATATAAAAGTGTAAGCTTAAATATTGCTACCACTAAAGCTAAAATAAATCGCTCGTTTTATTCAATGTTACATGGTTTTTCAACACCAGACATAAATGGGATGACCATCTTGCAGAACACACACAAAAATGTACATTTAAGTTATATTAACTTAGGTTTTATTGTTGTTATTAACATGCTTATTTAAAATGGATTTGTCTCATTAGCATGGATCCTAGTTTTCTGTTTGACATGGAAAATCCATGAATCCTTGTTTTTCTGTGACCTACTGAAAGCACAGTGGTGTCCTGCGGTTAGCAGCACCATTTCTTCTTTCTTATATTTGGTGTGTGTTTTTGTCTCTTGGCCAATCAGTGGGGGAGGGGGGTGCAGATAGTATTGAATTAAGTACTATAAAAATGACTATGTCGTCTGACTTTTTTCTGACAATGCAGAAGGAAGCACAAACTTACCCATAATGCACCTGACTGTGCACTACAGTATTGCTGCATTTGAAAATACTGGGGGTTTTTTAAACAATTCTAATAAGTATCAATTTGTTTTTTGTTTTTCTTTTTATTGTAACTAGCATTACTGCAGAAGTTGTCCTTTGAATTTCTATACAATCTTTTTAGATTCTTGTTACATTTTTTGCTTTCATTTTTTCCTGCAGTAGTGAGTAGAGTGACATAAAACATGTTGCATATGTTACCTGGCCCTTTCTCTACAACCATGATAAATGTTGTAGTTCCTGTCTCCTTCAAACATAATATTAAATCTATAGATTCTATATATGTCTATGTGTGGACCATCTGTCCCCAGTACAAAGATTGTTTTAGAAATGATTTCTAAATACTTCAGAAATACTCATAACTTTGAGAATAGCCATCACTTGGTGACACTTTCTATCCTAATATAGTGTCCTTCTGTCCATGTTAGACATCAACCTGTTTCCTTAATATTAACCTATTAGGCTTTGTCACCTTTTTTGTTCTTTTTCTTTGTGTGATAATCCTCAAACTGTTTATTCCCTGAGACTGAGAATCCTATGCAAGGGATATATATTAAAGAAGATAAATTAATTGCCAGTAAATCTATTTCCTTAGAAGCAAGATTTTTTTTTCACAATTACTTTACCTACCTGAGGGTTCTACTCTCTGAATTTTTCTTTGGGAGGTCTGTATGTAGCTCAGTAAATAGCTGGCCAATTCCAGATAATGTAGTAGCTATGTATGACTGCCAGGATGTGAGTGTCTCATGTTAATATTTTCTGACATTACCACAAAAGACCAATAAGCTCCATGCTTTTTCACAGGAAAAACAGAAACAATAATGAAAATCCTCTGATAAAGCTTGGGAAAAGCAGAACTAAAGGTAAATAAGTGTCCTTTAAAAAAAAACCCCAAAAAACACAAAATAGGAATAACTTTTTACCTCTTGTGGTTATCAAGCTTCATCAACAGTCTTTTGTGAGCATATTTATCAAAAATGTTTGGAAAACCCTAATACGTTTTATTCTCAGATGGCCCTTTTATCCACTCTTGTGCTAACTCATTTTAAAATAATTTTAACAGTTTGCAAAGGCACAATTTACCCTTATGGAAGTCGTGCTGGTTTGACCCTGTTGCATTATTGTAATACGGATTGCAGTGTGATATTCAACTGAAGTTGTATGTTCATGTGTTTTAATGGATGTTATGTGCATTTTCATTTTTTAAGAGGAAGGACAGTAGGAGGTGGTTGTATCCTACACAGGCATGTGTTATGACAGATGGAGAAAATCTTTTCATGTTGATTTTTCAACAGTCATACTCTGCAAGACTTCAAGCTTTTCCTGGCTACTGGGAAATTAAAAGTTGGCGATTCAGCCTTTAATT